CCCTTTTCTATACTTTTTGGTTTGTTTTAAGAATATGATCAATAATAGCATCTGTTAATATTGTTGGCCATAAAGTTATATCATTTTATTACTTTCATGTATCTATATATATCGAAGCGTTTTTTTTTGGGACTATTTCTATCTTCTGTGTTTTCGCAATACCTTTTTTCAGTAGCATTTTAAAGACTGCGGGAGCCCCTTCGGGCCCTACGCGCCCGCATAGTTCGCTTACCGCTTAATCCGCCGTTCAGGTATACACCACATATGCGTACCACTATAAAGCAAAAATTGATGTCAGAATTTCTGCGCGCCTTTTACAACCTCGAGACTAAGATTTTATTCGGGAGTTACCGTTTTCAATTTAGTAATTTTAAAAAATCCTCGGGTAGATTTACTTTTGTTACATTAGTGTTACCTTTATAGATTTCTAGCTCTGCAAACTGTAGAAAAATCTAGAAATACAGTTTGTATATCGTAATAATATTAGTAGTTGCCAGAAAGCTCTATAAAATAGAGAAAAATCTGTAAATTTGAAAACTATAAACATAAATTTAAATTTCTCAAAAAATAAATTAAAAAATCTCAAAAGTCGCTACTTTTGGCTGATTTGTCTGAGGTCTCCGCTACCTCACTACGTCCCTCTAAAAGTCGCCACAGTTGGGAACGCTGGTGAGCAGACATGTAGGGTCTAAGTATGGAGAAATGTAATCGCCAAACCGCGCTGTAGAAAGGCGGAAAATTTAAAATTTAAAAATATAATTTCTTGTGAACAGCAGTTTGGGCCCCCTTCCAAGTGGGCCCTGTGCGGGTCACCTGTTGGACCTGTCTAGTTACGGCTCTGCTGCTAGGTGTGCGATATGTACAGTACAGTACATGCATGCAGGCTGCCAAATCCCGAGGGTGCCGATACCGGTCAATTTCAAATGCTTCTTTTGTCGCATCACAGATATACCTCAAAAGACGCGTCAGGGTTCTTGTAAATTTTAAACGTTTCTCACCATAGCTGTAAAAGTCTAAATATGATAAACTTAATAGATTGTCCGTCGTTTGTTTTCTAACTAATTCGTTTTAGGACCAGGTGTTGTCCACGGAAATTTCTAAAATTTACAACTTTTCGGTCACTCTCGTTGAACTGGAAAAATGTCTTTATTGCATCTAATAATATATATGTAACCCATTCAACAGGTGTCCGTCCGTCCCGTAACCGTTTGATAACCGACACTAGAGGCGCCCCTATCGTGTGTCATATTTCAAACATCCAAATTAACAATTTTAATTCTTATTTAAATTAACACTATGAATTATTATTATTCATTTGGCCAATAAATTATTATTTGGTCAATATAACAATATAAATAATTCAGTATATTTGTAATAGGAATTTATTATTTCAGGGGCTTATATCTCGCGAAGGGTCGCAAGTAGGGGTATGGTTCCTTTGCCTTTATTGTTCGCACAGTGGGCTACAGTTTGGGGGGGTCGCCACATCTTCACCTAATCTTACCATTGGGACTTTAACAGAGCTGTAGAGCATATTGATAGGAACAAAAAGTCAAAGGAACCGTGCTTCATGGAAATTTGTAAACAACGCCCACTAGGGGGCGTCCCGGGCTACTAGTTTCGAAGAAATCAGTCCCACTGTACTCGGCTACAGATTGGTTCGGTTAGGCTTTTGTTTAAATAAAATTTCGGCTCTTTCATCGGGGTTTTGTTTATGTCCCCAATTCCCTAATTGCTTAATTATTTAACTACTTCTTAAGTAGAAATAAGTCGAAACCAGTTACTTTGTACAGTATATTCATAGTCAGTCGATGATATTTTTACTTGGTAGAGTCATCGATATATATATATATATATATATATTAACTGTATAACATTTTATCCTCATAAACAACGAATTCTAATACATTTCCTCATGTTTAAATCCGCATTTTATGGAATTTAAAGTCGACCGGATTTAAACAAAATAACTATTTTTCTAAATGATTTCCTTTCGTATTGCGTACGAAATTATTTCAAATAATACTTCTTTATTAACTTATCATATTAATTTCTTTAGACAAAAGATTTAGTAGAACGACTAAGAACATTTTTTGGAACGAATATTCATCAAAAGTTTTTTTCTACATTTTTCTAAAAATCGATTTTTTGTGGCCTTATTCGAATTGTTTTATGAATGTAATGCATAACAGATAATATATTCAAAATAAAATCGATATTCGAGTCAAAAATAAGATATTTTCAAATAAATTATGTACAAGTGAAGGGACATTATTTGAAAATAATTAAAACGTAAGAAGAAAAGGATTGATTCTGAAACAAGAGATAAGTTCTCAAATAGTTAAATAGAACTATACATGGAACTGTAAAAAATATATTTATGTACGCACGTACACACACAAATAGTATATAATAATCATAATGAATGAGGAATAGCTGGGACGTTGGTAGAAAAACTCTGATAGCATAAAATGCAAGAAAATTCTTTAGGGATGAACATTACTATTTCTTTAGCTAAAAATTTTGCGCTGTTCAGTTAAAAGTTGTTTATAAGAAATGAACAGTACTATATAAAAATGTGTAATGTATTAGAGAGGTTGAGGCGCACGTTTTAAACGTGTAAACGTGTACGTGTGACGTTCGGCGCCGCTTTCCCGTAAGCCTAAAAGTTTGACGATGGTGTTTGGAATGTCGAGCGTGATTCCACCGACTATCCAAACACCATTGTCAAACTTTTAGGCTTACGGGAAAGCGGCGCCGAACGTCACACGTACACGTTTACACGTTTAAAACGTGCGCCTCAACCTCTCTATTAAGTATTCAATTTATGATAAATATAAATTGTACACATTCATACTGTAATTATTTAATGAATTGAGTTCAATAACGAAAATTTTTATTCTGTTTAGTACTATCAGCGGGTTATTGTTATCAAAAGTAGGAAGTCCTAAAGTAATAATAATCTAGCTAAACACCAACCGTATGCCGAAAATCTATCGGGCTAGTTTAAGGCTAATTACTAAATGATAATCAACGGATTTCACTGTATTCGTAAATTCTTTGTTGACTTTCGAATGGAATGGAAGAAGTCATCTTCCGTCTATCTAGTCTGATCCCAAGAGAACGAACTAAGAACCGGTTAAGGATCAGACTGAAAAGTGTTCTTAGTGCCTTCACAGAGAGAGCCATTCACATCTTTGGAGTGTTCATTCGGTGGAATCGAAGACAATAGTTTTTGACTAGATATACTGTATATTTCTACTTTTATTACTAATAAACAAATAAGTTTTCAAGTTTATAAGGTAGGTACGGTATTTTCTGTTAATACGAATTGATATTTAACTTTTATAACACTAGAACGGTTCAACGGTCCATAACAGATAAAACAAAAATAATTAATCCTTTTTAAATTTAAATTACTAAATAAAACTTATCATAACACATCTTAGATCGTTTTTTCTCTGTATTTAAACATATAAAATCTGATATTAATCAAATTAGATGGTTTTATAATCGGATTTAAATCACGTGGTGAGTAGTGAAATCCGCCATCTCGATTTTAAATGTGCCCTTTTTAAAATTATAATAAACTTTACAAATTATCAGATTTTTTAAAATGCTACGGTTTAATTAATCTGAAAGCTAATTTAATGTTTAAAAAATGAATAAAATCGTAATTTTGAAGCCAGTTAACGCGTTAATACAATTACAGTTGTCCCTCTATAGTCCGACGTTTTTTAATCCGACATGCTCAGTAGTCCGACGCACCTCCCGTCAAGGTACCCGTCCCCGTTACGTGTCTGCTTGCACAGAAGCATGTCGCGATGTGAATCTCCCCATCCAATTCTTACTCGATGACACACATTTCGTGTGTTTTATGTGAGCAGTTCTGTTCGAACAGTTGGAGTAGAGAATATTGTAAGTTACTGCTAGCAAAACAATGCGAAATATGTAATTATTTTCGGTAATCCGGACACTTTTGGTAATCTGACACACCTTTGGTCCCATACCTGTCGGATTATCAAGGGACAACTGTACTTGTTTCTGCCTGTCACCGGTGAGGGCGCTAGTCCCTATCTGGTCCCTAATCTGTGCTAATACCCTTTCTGTGAATGGTTGGGAATCTCGATTGTCCAGATTAACTCCGTTTCCTATTCTACGTATTCATGTACATAATAAAATATATATTTTTTTACAATTCTTCAAATGATATACATTCGATATAATATATCACAAAAATATACTTTTTCTATAAACTACCTTATATTATATACGTGTGCATAATGTACCGTACGTTGTATATACAATAAACACATACGATACGTGTACGACGCGTAGATCGAAATTAATTTTAAATATTTTAAGTGTACACCCATTCGCATTAATTCATCCAATCGATTTTATTTCCGACATTACATTAAATAAAAAAAAAAAAATTCCCAGAAAAGCATTCTACGAACTAAACTTTTCACCTCGTTCCGACAAAGTATGCATTCTACTTTAACCGGAAGAAGGGCATTATCAAGTACGGAAGAGAACGGATCCAATTTTGGCGCATGCGCTTTTACTCATTTGTTATGATGGCGGATGTCGAGATGGACGAGTAGAGATATTTTTTCTTAAAAGATATATAAATACAGGACAAACGAATCTTGTTTTTTTTTCCATCAAAAGATAATATTATAAATTTCATTTTTTTTCTTTTTTTATATACTTTTGACTGTGATTTACATTCAGGTAAATATAATTTCTTCTTTTTTACTCTCTTATAAGTTATAAATTAGTTAGGCCTAAGGTGTAATTTAGTCAATTACCTGAAATATGAATGTTTTATCGAGTATTTAATTGCGATTTTGATTATTTTCGATCCGTTATCGAATTAAATGCGCTGTTGAAAGGAAAAAAATAAAATAAAAAACGTATTAATTTCGTGCAGTTCCTTAATAAGGACGAAAAACGTATTTGTGGGTTAATGTTTATATATTTGCCCTCGATAAGGTAAAGTCAAAATTGGGGGAAAAAATAATGTAAATTGGGAATTTATAATAAGACCTTATGATAATACATCTTTATATACTTCTGTTTATAGTAAAAATCATTCAAGGTTACATGTAAGAAAATCAATGCAAACTTTATTAACATATTTTATAATAAATAGTGTATAATAGTAGAAGCTTTTGATTATTCTTCTTACATTTTAAAAATACTTCTTTGTTTATATAATTATAGCTGCATTCTATTTTGGATTAGATATGTTAATTGATTTAAGAAAAAAAAAAAGTAATAATTGTCTACGGAATGATAAGGTTGCATGGATTATTTGCAATAATAAGTTTAATTTTATGGTAAAGATAATGTTTTTTGTTTGTTTGACCTTGAATTGTTTGCTGATCTAAATAAGTAAATCCTGCCATTTTCATAAATTTTAGTTCAATTTCAGTAAATGATTTAATTTTTGTTTTTAAAGTTTAATGATTTCAATGCATTTTGGTAAATTAAGTCACTTTTCTTTATGAAAACACATGATAACAGTTTTATAATCAATCAATCAGTCTTTATTAGCAAATAAAGGAATATTTCCCTGTTGCGGGGGTAATACATACTTATGTTTGATAGGAATTCACAAAAGTATTGGAACGGTTTTTTAAAAGTATTTAACTTATACGATTACTTTATGGTAGATTCCGTATAAATCGTAACAGTTTTATAATTAGATCGTACGTTTACTGATCAATTGACACTTGACATCGATTAAAAGATTGAAACCAAATTTACGACTTTACCATCATTTAGATGGTAAAGTCGTAAATTTGGTTTCAATCTTTTAATGTAGTAATTTTGTTTGATATTGGAAAATAATTAATTCGATTTGTTCGAAATTATATTCTAGAAATGATTTTTTAAAAATGCTATAAGTATTATTTAATTTAGTATTATTTTAAGATGTTGTCACATAAATTGTTGTTTTCTCAATTATTTACTGTGTATTGATGTTATTTTTTACTGAATTAATATGTTAAATATATTTACGTTTAAATTTAAATTTCATTTCGAGTAGTTTTTGACTTTTTATGTACACAATATTTTATTGGTTTAACTGTTAAGGCTGCTAGAATTAGAACTTTGTATAACATTAATATTAAATGAGAATAAGTGAAAAAATACAGCAAAATTTTCTGGAATCAAAAATTATCAGTGTGTCTAACTTTATTTGGTAATTAACCTTGAAACCATAAAATCATATGATTGCTACATTGACTATCTGAGTCTGTTAGTTAGACACAAACCATTATAATAGTAATAATATATTTCATTTTATTAATATTCTTTTTATATTGGTACTTAATAACTGTGTGTTGACACTTGACAAAGTGTCAATACAGTTATATTATTCTGTCAAAGATCCAGTATTAATTAATCAGTACTAATCATTTACTGGAAACATTGAAGATAATGTAATTAGAATTTTAAATATTAAAATATCTCTAAATTGATGAATTTTTTTGCATTTGCACCCAAAATTTATATTCTTTAATTACGGAAATACATTTGTATTGTTACTTAGGATATTATGGTATGATTGCTGCAAATTAGAATTAGAACATAAACCACTTTTTATCAAGATAATGCAAATAGTTTTACATATAAAATTTTTTTATATAATCAACAAAAAATTTTAATATTAACTTTTTTGTAATGTTTTTTAGGAAATATATGCAAATAAATTTAAAATTATTCAGAGAACTGTTTTCCTTCTAATTTAATATTGTAAATTATGTTATACAAATGCATTTGAATTGAGACACTAACAAAGGAAGGTCATGTTTGATGCCTCTGGGATTTTTTAAGCTTTTATCATTAAATGAGTGTATTGAAAATGAAAGTGTATATCTTTAAAATAAAAATCAATAAGGATCCATTTTGAATAAAAATTTTAGCCTAATATTGAAATATGATTTAAAATAAATAAGCATATACTACCATAAAAATAATATCTTGGTACTAATGATTACTGTTTTGTATTTCTACATTTTGTGATTTTGATTCCATTCTCCTAATATTTTTTCCTCTTCTTTTTCTTTATAGTTACTTTTGTATAAATACTGTAGAATCATATGATAACTACAGTAAATGGTATATAGTGAACTAAGTCTGTAACTATAAACCAATCAAATGATAATGCCAGATTCATTGGGAAATAATGTAACTAGTTAAATATATAAAATAATTTGGACCTAAGGTAGGACATCTGGTATTCATTCTAATACAAGTAAATTGGATTAAAGGTAGGCTTTATCTTTAGTCCAAATTACTTTATATATTTAATTAGACAAGTTATTGCTTGAGGAATATGGCATTATGATTTGATTAATTTATAATGTTTGGCTTAGTTTACTATGTGTAAATATTTATGTTAGACAGATCTTTATACTTTCTAACAAGAGATGGACTAATAACTGTGAAAGCAAATTAAATAATAAAAAAATACCTAAAATAGAACAGATTTCTACTGTACTGTGCATTATATGCCTATACTAATGTGTATTTACTAATTTGTCATAGATGCTATCTAATCAAAATATAACTATATTGTTAAGATAATATTTTAAAAATGCTCCATGGAAGTAGTATTTGAAAAATTTGGTTTTTTTTTTTTTTTTTAACACGCAAAAGCTTAAAAGTTATATATCTTATATTTAAAGATAAAGCATTAATTTCATTGTCAGATGTAAAATGTAAAATTCAGTTTAAAAAGATAAATTTATTGTCTTACAAATTGTAGGAATTAAATCTTGTTAGATTTTAATATAATAGAATCTTTTTACTGTTTGCTATAGGATAACAACAACAATAAACAACTGATAACATTAATTAAGCAGCATAGTAAGTAAATAAGATTATAGTTAATAGAAATTCTCGTTTTATTTACTCTAATACTAAAGGACATATTAATACAATCAAAAATGTGTAACTTGATTAATTATAATTATTAATTAATAGTAATTCATCCATATATAATTGAAGTAACAAATTCCAACAATTTAAATTACTATACTGTGAACAAATAATAATTTATTTTATTTTAGCTATTATTAATTGTTTTATTAATATTTAAAGTACTGGCTAAGACATAATGATAACTGATGGTTGTTGTGCACTTAGCCATAGATTGAGACTAATAGAACCAAAAAAGAGCATAAAAATGTCTCTGAAGGTAATGATAACTATAACCAAAACTGTGATTACATTAAACAAAGTTTTATAAGTATATTTTATTTTTCTCTTTGCAGACACACTAAGGTGACATATATCAACACTTGGCAACTTATTGACTATTTATTCAGTTGGGACGCCTTTTACATTACGCGTTTCGGGCATTGGCCCCTCTTCAGCCAACTAGACATAAAAAATAAAACATGAGAAAATTTGTACAAAAATACGCGAGTAGATAAACTGTTTTTTTAAAAAAATTTTTTAAAAACATACCATAAAACACAAACCACTATTGTACAGATGTCGAACAGGATGGACAATTTCATATTTCATATACAACTTGGATAACAAACAAGGTCGACGATAATCATTGGAGAACAAACAGGGTCGTAGATAGCAGCTTGACTACTGGGCTTTTAAATATGNTTTTTAAAAAATTTTTTTAAAAAAACAGTTTATCTACTCGCGTATTTTTGTACAAATTTTCTTATGTTTTATTTTTTATGTCTAGTTGGCTGAAGAGGGGCCAATGCCCGAAACGCGTAATGTAAAAGGCGTCCCAACTGAATAAATAGTCAATAAGTTGCCAAGTGTTGATATATGTCACCTTAGTGTGTCTGCAAAGAAACAGCTTAATAACAACAACACGGTTTCATCAGAATCAAAGTATATTTTAATTTATATGATCTGGGATTTGCTAATTTGGTAACATTAAAAGACTGATAACAGTACCTGACAAGTAAGTATTGATAAATTGTATTGTACAATAGAATTTTAATTTTCTGAATGCTGATAATTAGAACCATCAGTTATCTAAACCAGGGCTGTGTTCATTCTTGCTAAGTCTAGTTATGCTGCAATGCTGAACTCATTTCTAACTACTGCTTGACTCCTCCCACCACTAGAATTCTAGCTAGTTCAGTCAGCTTCTATTATCTATGCAACTTATAAACTCTCTCTCTCACAAATTGGGGAAAAACGTAATATCAAATATCTATCAAATCATAGAAATTATCAAAAAACTAGTCTAGTTAAAATTGAAATGTATGGCCTCTTGTTACCCATTAAACAGTTGTTAAGTTAACCTGTGCTGTCTCTTCCTTCTATCTCGACTCTGATCGCTTCGTTACGCGACTGCTCGTGTGACCTAAATAACGCGGCTTCCGAGACGCGGTGGTGTCATCCTGACAGGGCACCAAAGAGGTGCCGATCCTATTAGTGACATCATTGTTTTTGTCTCATTGTACAATTTTCAACATGGCTGCTCGTGTTGGACTAAATGTATTTTATTATAAGAATCACAAAGTTATTCTCTCATTCTAAATCATTAACTCATTCTAAAATGACTTTGAAATGCAAAATTATCATATGTCGGCATAACAGATTCCAAATACAATTTAATGGAAGATAGCGGTCCATTTTGTTGATTACAATTAATAATTGTTTTATTAATTTCATCATGATCTGACATAACTTCCATTTGAATAATTTATTGGTTACTTTATCCTTTTCTGCCAGTTTGT